CGTTGGGTTCAGTGCCGGAGCTCAGACAGGAGCCCTTGGCCACGTCCTTGGCTCCTCTCATTCTCTCCACCTCAGTCCACTCCCTCAACGGATCCCATCAAATGGCTTCAAAACACACTGGGATCTGACCACATCTCACCACCTCCACTGCTACCATCCGGGTCCACAGCTCTATCGGCACTTACCTGAGCTCTTGCAGTAGCTTCCCAGTCAGTCTCCTTGTTTCCACACTTACCCCTACAGTCCGTGGTCAACACAGAGGACTGAGTGGACTTGTTAAAATATAAGTCAGGCCATGCCTTTCCCCTCCTTGGAATATTCCAGCGGCTGCCCATCTCAGGGTAGAAACCCGGTTGCCATGGTGGCATACAAGATCCTCTGCGAGCTCCCCTGCCTCTTCCCCCCACCTTCACCTTCTGCTGCTTGCTCTCTGGCCCTCCAGTGCCTCCAGCCACTCTGGCCTCACTGGTGTTGGTGGAATAGGCCATGTCTGGCTCTATGTACCTCTCTGCCAGGATCGCTGCTCCCCGATATCCATATGGCTCATCTACTGTCATTCAAGTCTGTGTCACCTTCTCAGGGAGGCCCTCTCCGGCCACTGTGTGTAAAATTACACCCCATTCCCTGCTTCAGTTTCCTCTATAGCATCTGTCGCCATCTGACATACTACAGATGTTTTCTTTTTCCTTGTTTATTGAGAAGAGCAGAGGAGCAGGGACTTTGTCATGCTCATGGCTGTATGCCAGAACCTAGAATGCTGTTCAGCATCCAGTCCACACTCAAACATATGTTGAGTGAAGGAATGTCGGTTGAATGAATGAATGAATGATTATGGAGAGAATGAATGGCTATGAGTGAACATGGTGGCCACCATTGCAGGTAGCTTAGTATTGTGGTTACTGGAATGCTAGGTCTCCCATTAAATAGCATGTGACCTTGGCCACGAACTTAACGTCTACATCTGTTGTCTCCTGGAGGAAATAAGGTAATGAGCTAACCTAACTCATAGGGTGTCCAGTGAGTATAAAGCACTTCGAACCGTGCCGGCACAGAGTGAGCCCTCAGTGAATGTTCGCTATCACCATGGGTGTAATTTTATTTCTTTTTTAATTTCCTGGGGATCCAAATCAATTCCAGGTGCCATTCTAAGCACTTTATGTAAATCATTTGATTCTCACAGGAGTCTTACAAGATAGACGTTATTATAGCCACTTTACAGGTAGAGTTGACCAAGGCTCAGAGAGCATAAGAAACCTGCCCACAGTTGTTCCGTTAGCGTGTGGCTGGGCTGTCCAAGCAGGGACCTCATTGATGCGCCTTACATTGGGGCAACTTCACCCAAACACAGGGAGGCGGGTGAATTTAGTGGTGGGAGATGAGGTGGTCCTCACCTGGTAAGAGCGTCTGCCTCCTCCTCTGTGAAATGACAACTTCACGAACACTGGCAGCTACGGGTATTAAAGATGAAAGGAGGTAATTTCTGTAAAAGCCGTGCTCTTTCTAGTGCTGTACCAAAGGGCTCTCACCGAGTCTGCACCAAGGATTGGGATTCTCTAGGGATGGACCCAAGAATCTCTAGTTTTATGAGCTGTTGGTGAATCTGATGAGCAACCAGGCTGAGAACCACTGAGTACTGCAATTTTTATGATTATCATTAATATCATCCTAGCATCCAATGTCCAGTTTAACGGTAGTAAGGAAGTGGAGAAAGTGTATACGAATAGGACTTGAGGCCTGACTTCTAACCAAGCTTTTTGTTGCTCACTGTCTACAATTATAGAATATATTGTTTTGTCCAACATCCAACAACCCTACGAATCTGGCCACAGGATTCCTCTCCCGCCTCACCCCACCTACAGCCTCTCCACAAACTCCTCTTATACCGGACTCTACACCAACAGGGATTTGTCAGTGAGAGGTAGAACTGGGACCTATAGATGGAGCTACAGGGAGAATATTTTGGCTTGTCGTGAGAAGGCAGCTTTACAGACAAGCTGCTACAACCTGTGGGATGGAAGGTCAAAAGGGAGAGGTGGCGTTACTGGGGTCCAAAAGCCAGGGCCACACGGTACAGGGGGGCAGGTTGCTGGGACTACAGAGAGAAGGCTGTGGCAGTGGAGGAGACACACCTGCAACAGGAGCACAGGGAGAGGGAGGGAAATACTCTGCTTCTCCCTTCCCCTCCCTCAAGACTAACATCAAGCCTCTCATTGGCCAGTCCTACCAGGAAGCTGGAAACAGGGAAGGCTGGGAAGTGTAGTTTCCTTCGAAACAGCAGGGCAGAGAAAGGAGAAGGGATCAGAGGACCGATAGGCAAATGACAGGCACAGTGCCCAGTTATACGCTCTTATAGCCTCTACATCTTTACTTCTAGAAGCCACAAATTGTGCTAAATGCTAAATGACTTTTGTGTGACGATTTATTTGACGTCAGTGTCCCTAACTAGATTGTAAAGCCCATGAGGGTGAAGACAGAGATGGCTCATATTCCTGGTGGTCTACCTGCTGTCTAGCACTCCCTAAATATTTCCTGGTGGATATGCGAGTGAAAGCTCCTCAGTGAGGTCTGGGTCTCCCCACCACTCCTTCCCACCATTGCCCTGCTTTCTCGTAAGACTGACCCGTCAGTTGCTCAGAGGACCACGGGAAAAGGCCATCAGGGAGCAGGGTATGGTCTTCATACTTTGAGGTTCCACCAATAACAGAGATTAGTACCTTCAGGCTCATCTTTATTGAATCTGAGTCTGTGAGAATCTGCGGAATCTGGAGTCTGCCTCGGAATAAGGGAAGTTAGCCCACATTGGAATTTTTGTTTTAAGTCTCTGCTAAATCATTATTTTTTTCCCATCAAGACGTTCATTTAAATTATTTTTTGGAAGGTGGGATTTTTTTTTAAGAATTAATACAGTCATGTAGCTTAACTTCGGGAAGGACCAAATGAATGTAAAGTCAGAAGTTTCCTTTTCATTTCTGTCCTCTGGCCGGTCAGATCCCTTCCTGGAGGCAAGCAGTGTTATCAGCGTTTTGTGTATCATTTCCAAGGTTTGTGCCGATCTCTGCACACAAACACACACACATATATTTCTTTATCACACAAATTGTTGTATATGCTACACAAAGTTCTCTACCTTGTTCTTTGCACTTACCAGTATATCTGGGAGATCTTTCTGTATCAGAATATAGAAAGCTACGTCTGTTTTCATGTCTGCATAATGTACCACTATATAGGTGTATCATAATTTATTTAATAGTTCCTTGTTAAAGGGTGCTAGGGTTGTTTCAGTCGTTTGCTGTTACAGGAGATGTTGCACTGGGCAGTCTTTGTACCATCATCATTGAGCTGCAACAGTCATTAACTTGGAGATTCTCCAAGAAGATGTAGGACAGGGAAAAAAATTTAACGGGAATCTTGAGATCAGGCAGAAATAGTCGGAAGAGCTCTGGCCTGGAAGTTAGGAAATCTAACTCCTAAAAGTAATAACAAAGTCCCCTTTCAAATCCATAGCTCCTTTCCATTTATAAAACAATTTAAGATCTGTTAACTCATTGAGTCTTTAGGGAAAAACTTACCCAGCAAGAGGCTGAGATGTTTCCTCAGCTCCTGGACTCACTGGTTGTATGACCTAAAACAAGCTTCTAATTTGTCTGTGTCCTGGTTAACTTATCTATGAAACAAGGATAATGGTAATACCCACCTCATGGGGTCATTTTGAGCAGTAAATGAGCTACTCATGTCAAGTACTCAGAGTGGCATCTGTCATATGGCAGGAGTTCCATAAATGTGAGTTGTCATGATCATTTGGCAGATGGGGGAAGGAAAACACAGAGCGAGAAAGTACCAGTCATCTGGCTTATGGAAGATAGAGCTGGTGTGGGAGCGCAGGCCCCCAGGCCCCTGAGCAAGGCCTGCTTCTCAACCATGAGGTCCTAGGGATTTGTTCATAAACAGTGAGAGTAGTCCTGGCACAGAGTAATTCAGAGTAATTACTGCCATAGGAATCGGCGGACCTTGATTGAGGGGGTCAGTTCAGCCTCACACTCAGTGCTGTCGTTCATCAAATCAAAGATGCCACTGGGTGTAAGAAGCTTTGTGATGTGAACCACTGAGAAAGAAGGAAAGAAAAACCCTTGCCCACTCAAGTCCTAGGATGCTGTGCTGGTCACCAAGCTGTTGTCTCTCAGCTCCACAATTCCCCGTCTGTGCTCTGCCCTGTGAGGCAGGGGCTGGAACCTGCACACTTCATCTGCCCTTTGCCACTAGGGGGGACTGGGGGAAGAGGGACAAGGAGTTTGGACCTCTTGTTTTGCCTGAATTCCCTCCCAGTCCCAGCGGTGACTTTGGCAGTTGATTCCAGTTCCCAGCTTGTGTCCACTCCTCAGAACTAGACTCCTGGTGCCCTGGAGGGAACAATCCTAGGGAGCCAGTGCCCACCCTGGAAGTCCTGAGCCAGCTCTTGGGGTCTCCCTTCCGAGGCCCCGAGGTTTTAGCACCATACTGGCAGCACTCCCTCTTCAGAGGTCCCCCTTTTAGACATCTCACTCCTCCCATACCTGCTTAACCAATTCCCTATGTTAAATTCTCTCTGTTAAAATAACCAGAGTGGTTTCCATTTTCCTGCCTGGACCCTGACTCATGGATTGTAAGACACATCTTAACTTCAGAAATTTTAAATGAAAGTGTTACAATCAATGAAATAAAATACTGCAACAGGGAATTCATAGACTGTCAGGGCTGACAGTACCTTTGGAGGTGACCTAATCAACCCCAGTGGTAAACCCAGAAGGAAGTGCCTTCCTCAGGGTCACATAGCCAAATGTGACAGTGGGGGGACAGTGGGGGTCTGGACCCTGCTCCTGACCCTTAGGCCAGTGCTCTTTGCACTGTGCTTGTATCTTGCTCTGCTGACCCTTCTGAAGGGCCTGACCCCTGCTCCTGGGACGGACAGGCCCGTGACAGCCTCGTGGTGTGGTGTCCTCATCAAGCCTCTCCTTTTCTTCCAGGAAGTACACTTTGCTGGTCAACAATGGGTTTGCGATTTCCGCTGCATTGCTCATGGCCTGTTCCCTCCAGGCAGGCACCTTTGAAATGCTCATCGTGGGTCGCTTCATCATGGGCGTGGATGGAGGTGAGACTTCCTGTGGTGGGAGGGGGCAGTAACACAGTCCTGGGGGTGTTTCAAAATGTGAGGAGTGTTAGGAGTTGTCATGTGACTGGGCCCCTACTGGTATTGAGTTGGCCAAGACCAAGGATGCAGGACCCCTGCATCAAGTGGGGCCATCCCATGGGATGACCACTCGTGATGCTCTGGCTCCTAACTGAGGAAGAGTGACTGGGAAAGACCCAAGTCAGCTCCAAAGACCTGCATGGTCTTCACTATAAAATTCACATTCCAAGGTTATCTGTGGTTTCCAGGGGGTTTTTATAAGGGTTATGTTTCTTGTGTAGGCCTCTGACTCGTTCGTTCTTTCATTTATTCGCCAAGCATTTATGGAGCACCTGCTGTGCCTGGTGTTATGCACACTGGGGACACAGTGGTGAACACAACCCCCAAGTCCCTACCTCTTGAGCTTACATTCTAGTGGGTGGACAGATACATAGCCAAGCCTCAGGAGGAAAATGAAGCAGGGCAAGAGGACAGCGAGGGCCGTTTTAGATAGGCCAGTCAGGGCAGACTGCTTGGAGGAGGACACGTGTGAGCAGAGACCAGAATGAACCGAGGGCGAGAAAGAAGTGAGTACCAGAGGAATTGGGTTCCTGGCAGAGAGGAGTGCAATGGCCCTGAGGCAGAAGCGTGCTTGGCACGTTCATGGAAGGGTGAGGAGCCGCCAGTGTGGCTCGAGCTTGTAAGCCGGAGGAGAGTGGATGCAGACGAGGTTGAAGAGGGGCCCGTCAGATCACATCGGGTAGATTTTATAGGCCTCACGAGGACTGTGGCTTTGTGCTGAGTGTGATGGGAAGCCAGGGGAGGGTTGAGAGGAACGTGGCATGTGCTGGTTTGTGTTTCAGTAGGATTCCTCCTGCTTCTGCAGACAGGAGAGTGTAAGGCGAGGGCAGGAGTGGAGTCAGGGGACCAGCTGTCCCGGAGAGGTGGCCGTGGCTGGGACAAGATGGCGGCAGTGGACGTGGTGAGATGTGGCCAGATTCTGGCTGTGGGATGTGAGAGTCAGAGACTCAAAATACATCATCAAAACAAACTTGCTTGCTTTCTAAATACGCAAGTCTGTGAAGTATTAGTTTTAGGCATTTGTGGACAGGTCACAAGCTTTAGGGTTAGAAATTCCCGGGTTTGAACCCCTGCTTTGCCGTTTGCTAGTTACTGACTTTTGACGAGTTACTTGGTGACCGGGAGCCTGAGTGTCCCCATTTGTGAAGTGGAGATAACAATACCTACTTTGAAGGGCTGTGCCAAGGCTGCCGCGAAGCCACATACAAACTGTAAAGTTTATAAAATATGAACTGCCTAGTGCTGCTGGAACCCAGTACGTGCTTGTTAAAGGCTAATTCCCTTCCTTGTGGATCTCTCACAAGCTGAGGGCACCAGGCTTTATGAGTGAGCTGAACGGCAAAGGGAGAGGTGAGCGGGAGAGGGAGGGGCCCGAAAAAAAGGTCAAGGAGGAAGAGACCTCACTCAACTTCATCGCTGTGCTGGTGGGAAATAATTCAGGACTTTGTGATAACCCAGCTCAGCATGAAATGACTCCTCAGTCTTGGTATTCAGAAGGGAGGTGCCTATAGACAGAGTGCTAATTGGTGAGAATAATGTCTGATGTTCATGTAGTGTTTTATAATTGACCAATGATGTGCATATGTTTCATCTCCGTTGATGTCCTACTGACGCTGAAAGGCTGTTATTTTGTTGTCATTTTACATACGAGAACAGCGAGGCTCTGAGATGTGTGACAGTAAAGTGGTTAAAGCCGAGGGCTATGGATTCAGACTGCCTGGGTTCTGCTGCTTACCCAGGTTAATTTCATTACCTTGTCTGTATCAGTTAGGTTTTGCTGCATAAAAAAAAAAACACCCCAAAACATAATGGGTTAAAGCAGTAACCATTTTGCCGAGCTTACAGTTCTGTGGGTTGGTGGGTGGTTCTCATCTGGGCCAGCTCTATCCATCTCCACCAGACTCTCCCATATGTCTGTGGTGGGCTGCAGGCTGGTCAGTGGCTGGATGACTTTGGATGGTCTCCTGCACGTGTTTGGTTGTTGGCAGGTGGGTTGGTCTCAGCAGGTCCCAGCAGGGCCAGCTCACCTCTGCTCCACATGGTCTCTGCCTCTGAGAGGGTGACCCGGGCTTCTTCACGTGGAATTCTTGGGGTTCCAGTGAGCAAGAAGAGGGGCAGGTCCCAACGTGCAAACTCTTGTCAAGTCTCTGCCTGTGACACATTTGCTAGTGTCCCATTGGCCAAATTAAGTCCCATGGCCAGGTGCAGAGTGAGTGTCAGAGGAGTCTAACCCCCCAAGGATGTGGACTCAGGGAGAGTGAACAAATTGGGGGCACATAGCAGCAGTCTTCCTCACTGTCTTGCCCCATCTGGCAAAGGGCCTGAATTGGAAGCCCCCCCCGTTGGGTATGTAAAAATTCCCTGACAGACTGTGTCTGAAGCACGTCATACGTTCCAGGCATTTAGGACCTTCCCCCGATGCCAGAGGTCGTACCATTACTATTATTGTTGTGGTTATTCTTTTACTCTCAGCTAATAAGGTGGGGATCCAGCTTTGGACCAAGATGGTATGGTTTCAAAGACCCTGCCTGCTGGGGAGAAAGAGTGGGTGAGACTGGAGCATATGACCTTGAAAGTCCTTTCTTAACAGAGGCCACCGAGAGTCTCTCTTTCCGGCAGTTTTGTATTTTACCCGTTTAGCCTGTTGCTTTGACTGTTTAGCTCTTCTAGGGGAGGTGACACTTATTACACATAACTAGTTGCTCTCTGAATTTCCTAATTAAAAATAAGCTGGATTCAAACAGAGATGCCATTTCTACAAAACCACATATTCAAGACAAACACCTTTTAGACCCCTTGTCCTATGAGCTTTTCAAAAAGAGAAAAAAAAAGTAAGAACAAGGAGGGGAGGAAAAACAGTGACTCCTTCTGACTTCTGGAATGTGGCCAGATGGAGTTGGGCCGAGATGTGGAGGCTCATGTCATTTACTCTCACCAAACTCTCTTAAAGCAGAGGCAGGAATTTGAGGGCATTTAAGGTGATTAAGGCAATTGGTCAGGAAGAAGGGAAAATTGCTGGTCATGAGATGAATTGGCTGCCCTGCTCGTAATAAATAATTTAAAGCGAAATGATAAGCATGGAGGATTTTTAGAAGGCTGTGCTGCTCAACTCGGGTTCTCATGAAGTATTTGGAACCAGAGTAGAAATACTGGACACCTTCCTGAAGGCGTGAACAAATAAACACATTATTTTTACATTGGAACAAACAGGATGCAGCGTGGTGTTGCAGGCAAAATCCATGAAGATTGTAATGTCAGAGTAAAAGAGTGCAGAGGTGTTTTGTGTTTGCGGAAGGTTGTGTTGGACAGGTCCCTGCCAAGGCTTCCCAGTGCTGCCCACACTCCCAAAGATGCAAGTCCATGCCTGCTGCATCAGGAGCTCCAGTAGACAAGTCCACACCTGCTGCATCTGGAGCTCTCCAATAGACAAGTCCACGCCTGCTGCATCAGGAGCTCTCCAATAGACAAGTCCACGCCTGCTGCATCAGGAGCTCCAGTAGACAAGTCCACACCTGCTGCATCCGGAGCTCTCCAGTAGACAAGTCCACGCCTGCTGCATCCGGAGCTCTCCAATAGACAAGTCCACGCCTGCTGCATCAGGAGCTCTCTGTTGGACCAATTCAAGTAGCAACATTTAGAGAGGCACATGGCGTGGAAAGGACATGAAATCAGGGCCAAGGATATGACTTAAAGTTCTACCACTGACTTGCCAGGTGACCTCAGGACCATCATTTTACCTCTCTGGGCCTCAGTAATGCCATCTAGAAAATAAGGAGAATTGGATTCTACTGAGGTTTCCACCAGCTCTAACAATCTGCTTTGACTCCTTTTTATACTCACCTTAGAGCTGTTACCATGACTATTCTTGACACTTCTGGACCTCACATGCCACATAGCTTTATTGTTCACTCGTTAAACAACATCACAGAATAGGAAGTTTAGAAATAAAATGTGGGGCAGAAACGTTGACCCTCCTGTCTGGTGGGGTCAGCCCACGTGTATCAAGACTTACCCAACCACTTCCCCCAGCAGGCTCCCAGCAGGGGTGTGTGCTACTCTCACAAGCAAATTATTTATTCATCAGTATTCTGCCTCCTGCCATTACAGATGTCCACATCCTAACCCCTGTTAGCTAACTATGTTGGTTTCCATGGCAAAGGGACTTTGTAGATGTGATTAAGAATCTAAAGATGGGGAGATTAGCCTGGATTATCCAGGTGGGTCCAGTGAGATCACAGGGATCCTTATAAGTGAAAGCGGGAGGAGGAGAGTCAGTCAGGGAAGGAGATGCGATGATGAACGCAGAGACTGGAGTAATGCAATCGCTGGCATTGAAGATGGAAGGGGGTCATGAGCCAAGGAATGCAGGCAGCCTCTAGAAGCTGGAAAAGGCAAGAAAACGGATTCTCTCCTAGAGCTTCCAGAAGGATCACAGCCTGCCAACACCTTGACTTTAGCCCAGCAAGTCCCATTTTGGACCTCTGATTCGCAGAACTGTATGATAATAAATTTGCGTTGTTTTGAGTCACTAGTTCGTGGTTATGTGTTGCAGCAGCCGTAGGAAACTAATAAAAACACACAGTATTTTTAATTTATTATTATGATTTGAATCAGATTTTAACATGACAAGGAGAGGGTAAGATGTTCAGAAGAAATGGATTCTGGTCCTAGCCCTGCCACTTACTGGCTGGGTGACCTAAGGAAAACCTCACTACCACTCTGAGCTTCAGTTTCCTCTTGTGTAAAGTAGAGATAATGATGCCTACCTGACAATATTCGGGTACCATAGAGATGGGTGGCTGTGCGTGTCCGTGTGCGTGTGCTCCTTTCAATAGCGCAGCCCCTGGAGTCAGAGCTCTTGGCTGCATTTGCACGTGAGCAGATGGAGCCTCGTGGAGAAC